TATTTGCTCTTCAGAACAAATTTGGGGATCTTGCCGCCTTGTCCTATGTTGAACAGTATTTACAACTTGCTCAACATATCGTACCTCGTTATTTTCTCAACGAGATCTATGACCTCGAGTATTTCTTATTTGCTCTTCAGAGCTAATTTGTGAATCTTTCCGCCTTTTTCTATGTTGAACAGTATTTACAACTTGCTCAGCAGATCGAACTTCGGGACTTTCGCGCCGAAATCTATGACCTCGAGTATTTCTGCTTTGCTCTTCAGAGCATTAGGGGATTTAGACGTTTAGATTTTGTTCAAAAGACCGTACCTCGAGATTTTCCCGCCTGGTTCTATGTTAATTTGTATTGATAATTTGTTCGGACAGACGTACATCGGAATCTAATCTACGTTTAGAGTGACTTACAGTATCTTGTGACTGCTCACTATCTCTATATCAAGAGTTTGCACGAAGGCCTCTCATACGTCTTCTATTCTGAAGACGACTTAGTAATACAGATGTTCTACTTAATCTTGGCATGATTAATAAATAATAAATGGCTTAATATATAAAATACTTATATATAACACTTATATAATTCCGTCTGTCCGGGTGTGAAAAGTTGGATCCTAGGTGCTGCTCTCTTTCGCTAATATTGAGTCCTTGCTATGACTCCTTTCCTGTTCGGTGCATATGTACTATGGTTGAATGTACTAGTGCACATATGTATATGTGTTTGCTCGCCACTGTATATAATAATAGTTTAAACACTATATAACTAATCCACTGAAGTTAGTTTGAAGAAAGCACTTTGCTGGTCCAGAAATCTAATGTAACTGAAACTACAAACACAGTGTACTGATATTTATTATACTCTTGCAACATGTTGCTCATGACCTTAATATTAAAATGTGTCGCATAACTGAGATAATAGACAATAGCATTTAAACCGATGGGGTCGCACATAAAAAGGATCTTTAGCCCTTTTGATAGTACACTACTAATATTTATTTCACGCGATTTTTTCTCGAAAGATATTTTTGCTCTATACAAAGTCCAGCACTCTAAGAAACTTTTTTACATTGTTGTCTGGTATATGGATAATTCAACATTTATTATTCGATTATTATTTGGTATCTTATTAACTTATGTTATTAATCATAGATTTATTTAGTGTCAATGCTTTTTTTTTCGAAATGTTAATTTTAATAAAAAGAAGCTATTTAACTCAAACAGGATATATCTGATATAAACTGAACCAAACGGGGTTTGATTTAACATGTGGGGTATATGAGGTTGCTGTTGTATCTGAGGAGCGGAAATCAGTATATTAGAGTTATAAGGTTTAAGCAAAGTTCTAGACCAATTTCATTCATATGCAGCGATATACCACCATTTAATTTCATTAAATTATCATTATAACGAAAAAAAATTATACCATAAATACATAGTAAATATGAGCTGGGGAAATTCATGGACCGATTTCACACATTTTCGGCATTCAACTATGGTATATCTATTATTTTACGTTTATATAGAGCCAAACGGAAGTTTGAATTTCTTATATAAAATATGTTGGAGCTAGGGTCCATATATCCCCGATAATGGGTACTAGGGTGGAACCGAGAATTTTATACTTAAGCAATTCGCAAGAATCAAAGGCCAGGAAATTCCTTCAGGTGTGGCAAAACCTTATATTAAAAAAATGCTGAGAAAGAATTAAACATCCATTATTAAATGAAATCGTCTTATATTAAAGGCCGTAAACTTAGTTTAAGTTTTATTGTTTGAAGTGAGATACACATAAGTATGAATGTGTTATAAACTCTACCACAGTGGCTACATTTTGTATTATAAGCTTATGTGGCAAACGTCAACCAGAGATCGGAACTCATTATATGAAAGTGTGAGGCTTAGACCAAAGTATATACTAATTTCATTCTTATTCAGCGTCAAACCACATATTTTTTAAGAAATCTTAACCACTTAATTTCGTTAAAATATCACATTTTGATCAACCGGAACGGTTTAAAGTCAGGTGGAAAGACGAAAATCATATATTATATATATTGGGGATAGAGAAAGATATTAGTTTTGCCATTGCTCAGCGAAAACATATTTTGAAGCAATTTTATATATAAAAAAAAAATATTAATACTCACTGACCGACATATTCGGCATAAAACTTGTTAGAATAAGGAAAAGCATTATAAGTAGTACATAAAAGTTGAGGGTAGTATTAATCCGATTTTATTAATTTTTGCTAATATTATTTTACATGTAGGCTAGGTAAAATTTTCACCCGATTTGATCCATTTTAGACAAAAAGATACCTAGTTTTGAGTAAAACTTTCTCTTTCATTTTCATTGAGAGAACTCTCATATTGGCCGATATATGCGGTATAAAGTCACGCGGAAGTTCAAAAGTCTTGATATAAGGTATATGAAGGCTATAAGAACTATTGATCCGATTCAACCCTTTTTTACACAAAATCATACTATTATCGAGAGTTAATTTATTTATTTTATTATATGAATTTAATTATATATCTTACACATTGACCGATATTTTCGGTAAAAAGTCAACTATAGGGGCTTGAACAGTTTTGGTTCGATTTAAAAAATTTTTGGTCACCAGGTGGCATACTTTAAACGAATTATTCACGCAAAGTTTTACCCCGATACAATCATTGTTGTTTGATTTGCATAGTGGAAAGTGATAGAATATGGTGGAATTCAAAATAGTGTCATATGGGAAATAGGATTGGTTGTTATCCGATTTCGCAAATTTTCGCACTATAACATAGAAATCTGAGAGAAGAATATTATGTACCGAATTTGGTTAAAACCAGTTAAGCAGTTCCCAGGATATGGGTTTTCACCTAAAATTGAGTGATGCCACGCCACGCTCTTTCGTACCATCACGGATAAATCCAATGTATATAGCTTATTTATTTATTGATTAATCGCACTTTTAGTAGTTTTTAACAGTATGGAGAGTAGCCAGGGTTGTCACCCGATTTCACCCATTTTCACACCGGCGATAGAGGTGCTAAAAACATTTGTTCTCAGTGAATTTTGCTATAACTTTAGCGGTTTAGGGAATATGCATATTAAACCTATTAGGATGCCCCTGCCTAATGTAATCCTGTATACCAAATGACAGTCTTGTATCTTATTGTGGAGCTTAGTTATGACAATTTATTTGTTTTTAATTAATGGCGTTTTATGGGCGTGGCAGGGGTCTGATTATGCCCATCTGCAATACCAATTGTCTTACGGTTCATTTATATATACGGTGCCTTTATATATACGGTGCATTTATATATACATATAACGCTATATCTAACTCGATTAGTTTTAGATGATACAAACAACCGTTAGGTGAACAAAACTATTATACTTGTAGCAACATGTTGCGAGAGTATAAAAATTATATACTTTGGACAATATACGACTGATTATTTTTTGTCATATAAACGATTTTTATGATGAAAAATTGATAAAATATGTTTTTTTGTACAAATGTGGCATGATAAAATGCAAAGATTATGCAAAAAAATATATTTTAGTTTTTTAATAATTTTCTAATTTCAATTCTTACAAAATTAATAATTTTTGTATGTACATGTACATACATACTTATGTACAAATATGCGTCTTTTCGCGACGATGGCAAAAGCTAGAAATCATAAATTGAACAACTTTCTGTTGTTCCCTCTAGAAGGGAAAAGTGACAAAACCTACAAACCCACAAAGCACAGAAAAGAGTGAGAAAAGTGGCAACAAAGCTTCTGTGGATTTTAAATATTTTACAATTCTAAAATATTTTTCCGTGGCTCGTCATAATCTACCTCAATATGTATGCAAGTTTATATATAAACATACATATTTACAATGATTTGTTGGCAAAGCTGTTAGAGCGGCAAGGGAAGAGATAACAATCGGCGAGCGTTCGTTTATTTTTCCGGCACATCTCGGATTTTCTACCAACAACACAATGTGGTGACGCTTTGTCGTCGCGTCAGTCCTTCGACACATTAAATCTTTGACATGAAAGCAAAAAACGTGAGCTTCGATCATTGGTTGACCGTGTCAACGGAGATTTCACATGAAGTAATGAGTGTACATATCTTATATACTTTTGTCATAGAATCTAAATGAATAGAAAAGGCGCAAATGTTATATGAAATCTTTTTGAGTACTAATTTGTAGTTCCAGATGGGGAACATCGAAAAATATAACTTCGAAAAAGAGAAATACACCACGCCATGTCCGAAACGGAGAAAAGGTTATAAATAGACACAAGGAATGAAAAATTGGTGCGCATACCTATTTAGATTTATGTTTTCAATTTTAATTAATATGGCAAAATGTATGATTAAGAAAAGCTTTTTAAATTTAAAAGGAGGATTACTGGCAAAAACTCCCGCATTCGTAATAAAATAAACATTTAATATGCAATTTTTCCAACTTTTGTATTTGCGTTGCGTAAGCAAGCTTATTGAACAAAGGGTAATAATAAAACTATGGCTAAAACGGTCGCGTTTCCACTTTTGTAGTGGCTCAGGTCGTAAGCGTGAAGGACTTAAGCTCAATCCGAATACAAGCATGTACGTTCGAATCCTAAAACATATGAAACTTAAATTTTATTTATTTTTTTATTTTAGTAGTATATCTTAATTCAATTACTTTAATAGCATATTTTACTTCCTGAGATAATTCAATTTTTGAAGGCAATATGTTAATATGTTATAGGTTTATTGTATTTTCCCTTATTTATACGTATTTACACAAATGAGACAATTATACATAACATTCGTAAAAGTGCTCCTGCAACTGGTGGTGTTAAGAAACCTCATCGTTATCGTCCCGGTACAGTGGCATTACGTGAAATTCGTCGTTACCAAAAAAGTACAGAACTATTAATCCGCAAATTACCATTTCAACGTTTAGTACGAGAAATTACTCAAGATTTCAAAACAGATTTACGTTTCCAAAGTTCTGCTGTTATGGCTCTACAAGAAGCAAGNTGCTTTTTTCTCAGTCTTCTTTGGTAAAAGTACAGCTTGAATGTTTGACAAAACACCACCTTGAGCAATAGTCACTCCAGATAATACTTTATTCAATTCTTCGTCATTACGAATGGCCAATTGTAAATGACGTGGAATTATTCTAGTCTTTTTGTTATCACGGGCAGCATTACCAGCCAATTCAAGAACTTCAGCAGTCAAATATTCCATAACAGCAGCTAAATATACGGGAGCACCAACACGTTCGGCATAATTGCCTTTGCGCAACAAACGGTGTATACGTCCGACGGGAAATTGAAGACCAGCACGATTTGAACGCGACAAAGAGATATGAAATATGAGTATACATATTGTACATATGTATATACATGTAGGTCCGGCCACGCTTTACTGTGGTATTTAGGTAGGTAGGTAGGTTGAGTGGCTGTCCAATGACGCACCTAGGCCTATAGGAGGCCCATTGTGATACCACCGGGACTAATGTTCCCTCACTCTATCGTCTCCTGTCTGAACCAACCTGTGCTCCTGATGAAGTTCATCAGTACAAATAATTTTATATTAGCAACTTCTGATACGTCGTCAAGGAATCCACGACCGATAGTTGCGATTCTTTTCCTATATAGTAGCTTTACATTCGCATAGAGATGCTTTACAGTCCTCTTCCTCTACTTCTGACAGCTTCTACAATAGTCATTGTATGGTACCCTAGCCTACTTGCATGTCTTCAATAGACAGTGACCTGTTTAGCACTCCTATAAGAGTTCTTATATCATTCCTTTAAATTTTAGTAGTCGGTTTGTGCGACTCACGCTCCATCCTGCCACGTTAGTCTGCTGGTTGTGCAGGTTATTGATTGTCTCCACCGAGACTCAGCTATATGTATAGCATGTTCGCTGATTAAGTTTTGCAAGTGCCAAGGCATAAAGATACCTCTTTTTCAGGTAGTTGCAAAGTGGTGCCTATTCTGGTAGTTCATCTGCTTCGCAGTTACCAGGATATCGCTATGTCTCTGGAACCCATTGCAGGTTTATGTGTAAGTAGGATGTCAGACTCTCTAATAAGATCAAACAATCTTCACTAGCTTGGATGAGACCATTGGAGACTTGAGTGATTTCAAGGAGCTATCCGTATATATATATGCTTTGTTGTGAGCACACTTTGTCAATACCACTAGGCTTTCTTTAATTGCTGTGATCCGCCTGAAGACACTGCAGTGATCTGGCAAACGGAAGGCGATATTGGTGTTTAATGTTGCGCAAAGACACCCCTCCCATCGATGATCCAGTTTGGATCCATCCGTGTAGATGCTAATTCCTGTATTCCTGTCCACCTCGCCCTTTTCCACTCATCTCTTGTGGGGAAGGCAATATTGTGGACCGAATTTAGCATCCGTTCTATTGGATTGTGAAATCCGTGGTTTTGGGTAGGAACGGAATATACTGAGTATCCTTGAATGTCCCTTGTTGCATGCGACTAGTTGGGAGGATTCCCTCAGTCTAAGAGTGACTTTGCCGCCACTTGTTTACAGAACAGGTCTGTTGCAGTAAATGTAGAATGACGTTAAGAGCCTGGCTTGGCGTTGTTCTAAGAGCCTCCCTAATGCATATACTGGCTGCTCTCTGTATGCTTTCCATACGCTTTACCGCGTATTTTTTTCCATTATTGGAACATACCAATATACCGTATGTCATGATTGGTCTGACAACTGCTGTATAGAGCCAATAAGTTACCCGAGGTGTAAGTCCCCACTTGGGCCACCATCCTTTTACAGGTGTAGAGTGCTGTGGCTGCCTTCTTTACCCTAGCATCTAAGTTTTGTTTCCAGAAAGCTTCCGTCTAAGATTAGTCCCAGGTAGCTTGCCTTATCTCCAATTGTTAGTCTGCAACTATTTATTATTGGCGCCGTAACTTCTGGGCATTATGTTTTCTGGTGAACAATACGAGCTCTGTCTTACCAGCATTTAAATTTAATCCGCACATACTGCCCAGTGATTTATATCGTCCAATCATTTGCATAAGGTCTTGCGAGAGTATTCGGAATTTGCCTCTGACTGATACTGGCACATGTCAGCGTAGCCACAACATGTACCCTTCTTTCTAGATCCATCAGCAACTTATTCATTGTCAGGACCAGAGAAGTGGGGGTAACACGCCTCCTTGAGGTGTACTTCTTTGACAGATCTGCACATCGTTGACGCTCCATCGTTGAAATTATTGACCTCCGTGAGCTCTGTTCAATTAATTTCCTAGAGTTCAGAGTGTCCAGATCCTTAAGGCACTCAGTATGGCCCTAGGCTGGATATTATTGAAGGCTCCTTCTATGTCTAAGAAGGCAAATAGAGTGTATTCTTTGACTTCCAGAGATTTTTCAATCTCCGCCACCACAGTGCTTAGTGCTGTTTCTGTGGATTTTCCTTTAGAATACGCATGCTGCGAACCAGCCAACTTTTCTGGTTTCAGTTTATTTCTTATATGTAATTCTATTAGTCTTTCCAGGATTTTTAACAGGAAAGAGAGAGCTAATTGCCTGAAGTCCTTTGGACTTGTATGCGAGCTTTGCCTGCCTTTGGTATGTATATCACCTTGACCTCCCTCCAAAGCGAAGGGATGTAGTTTAATTGCAGCGCCCCTACAAGAATGCAATTAGCAATTCATTATGTAGTTCTGCGACTGCTGCAATTGAGCCGGGAATATACCGTCTGATCCCGGACTTGAAAGGCTTAAAGCTGTTTATTGCCCAGCGTACGTTGCTTTTAGAACTAGTTTATGAGAGTGGGCTCATTTCTGTCCACTGTCTTGAGTATTTCTGCAGTATGGCTTCAGAGCTGCCTGGGAAGTGGGTATCCAGTAGTAGCCCAAGGACTCTTCACTGGATACCGTCCAACTTCGGTCTGGCTTCTGAGATATCATACTTGCACCGATGTGCCATTGTTATTTTAGTAGACGCTTGCGAGTTTCCGATGTCGTTGCAAAACGTTTCCGTGAATTTCTTTTTGCTCTCCTACTTCCTTTTTGTATGACTAAGGAGTATATAATAATCCCAGCCTGACTCGCTTGGATGTGCTTAGCTAAATTGAACTGCTTTCTGCATTCTTTTTGTAGCTTTTAAGTTCTAGAGACCACCAGGGGCCTTATTCTACCCCTAGCTTCGTGTTATTGGACAGCCACTTTAGTGCTTGCCGGCACGATTCCGTGAGTCGATTAACGAGGATATCTAGATCCTCTTTGCTATTGGGCTGAAACGGTAATAAATAGGGAGTTTCTTAGCTCTTGCATGTGCACCTCAGTTCGTTCTCCTATGATTCCTAAAGTTAATGCCATCTATCGGCCTTTCCTCTATTGTACATTCGATATATCGTGATCCGAAAAGGAATGTTCTTTCGAGAACCCTCCATTGTTACCTGTCCAATTAGTTCTTCCGACACAAGTGTTATCCAGCACTTCTTGTCGTTTCTTGAATAATGTTGAGTGCTCCTTATACACCCAGTAATTTATACCAGTAGGTAATTAAAGAGACATTCACCTCTGTCGTTTACATCTGTGCTGCCCAGATGCGTGATGCGCATTTGAGTCGCATCTAAGTATCGTCTGCACTTGATGCTCGCTATCCCGTACCACTCTTTACATCAGAGTGCACCAGCTCCTGCTCATAGGCATATAGCACACTAGCGGTAACTGCTTGACGTTTCCCAGCTTAATGCTCTGTGTCGTTGTTGCTGTATTGATGTAATATAAACATTAGGGTTTTCTTTGCATTATCATGCTGAGTTTCCTTCAACAGTTAGCCATCAGCAACTTATATTCGGCGTCCTCAGTCGGAAATCCCTCCATTAACCTGGCTTCTGAATGAGGACAATTTCAGGCTGTTCCATTGCCACGGGTTATTAAGGCTTGAAGCTAGTTTCTATGATGGGATTAATTTGTAGAACAGCATTAACTATTGTTATGTCGCGTCTTCTGAGAGCACTTAAAGCTCTTTCTCAGTATACAGCTTGAGAGTCCGGCGCAAGCTCAGACCGAAGAAGAACACTCACCTTGCTCCATGCTTTCCGCGTCGTCGAGGATCCAGTCGGATCTTCCTCACTGCGATAACTCTTCCCGATGCCAGATGTCGCTATGCATCGGCGTCCGACTGTAAGGCGTTTATCTTACTTTCGTGAACCGTAATATCTCCCCCACTTTTCGCAGCGGTTCGATGGATTCTTTCGTTATAACAGCAGAACTGCATCGTGCCCTTTTGGTCCACGCCAGATTCTGCTACGCTTCATCAAATGTTTGACATACTTCCACCTTCGTTGGGTAGGCTCGTGGTTTGCAGGCTTTATGGGAGCTCATGAATTTGTCCGCGTGTGATGGTGGTAGCCGAACCATACCTTGTCTTGTTTGGATGGTATGTCTTCTTGTCACTGCTACCATTTGCCCGGGTACTCCTCCACCATTGCGTATAGCAGTTTATAGAGCGCATTCATCTTTGTATCGCAAGCATCATTTTGATCTGCCTGGTATACCGGATCTGCGCTAGACGGTGGCGACCGAGCTTAATAGCATTCAGGCATGTCAGCGCAGCCTGCCATTCATTGGCTCTGGATTCGTTCTCTTCGGGATGCCTCTATCAGACGCCATGACAATTCGGTCCGGGCCACTTCTGCAATGATTTTGCGGCGTTACACCCTTGGTCTTCGGTCTCTTTGCTGACGGCTTTGCCTCTTCAGCTGACCTCTGTCGCTTGGCTGCCTTTACCGGCGGCTCCAACTTGAAGTTGGGTATGACTGCTCTCGCGCAGTCAATCGATGCTTGGAGCTCCTTCGTTAGCTCCTCTTTCGTTGGCGGCTTTAGCTCTACCAACCTTAGTAAGTATGCGGCGCGTCGTCTCTCCGCATACTTTGCCTTTGTCGGGTCCTGCATACTAAATGCAGGCCACTCCCTGGCAGATGCACTTCCAGCAGCAGCCCCTTTGGCATCTCCTCCCTCCCCTTGCTTCTCAGGCGTGTTTTGGCCGCAGGGTTTGGGTCTGGCTGCCTCCGGCGCTACCACTTTCTGTGGGCCAGCTTTAGCTTCTGCCCTTTTACTACTGCTTGCCTTGTCATCAGGACCAAGCTTCGCTCATGTCCTCTTCGTGTTTGTTGAGCTTGCTCCAAATGCTGCTCTTTTATGGGAGCAACTCGCTCCCTCCGGCTTTTTTCTTGGAGATCCGGGCTCTCTCCGATTTTTTGTTTGTTGTTTTTGTTTGTTTGCGTTTGGGTTCATTGTTGGTCCCACGAGTGTGGGGGAACGTATGTCCACTTGCGCATAGCCCCCGTTGCGCAAGTCCCCGTTGCGCAAGTAAGGCTATCTTATTACGGAGGGCGCTGTGGTATTTAATACTATTCAATATAATGAAAAGATTTTTTCCGATTAAAGGCGAAATTTCAAATACTTGATTTTGATAGATACTTAATTTTGTGATTATGTTTAGAAATATATTTTATTTTATTTATGAATTGTTTTACTTTTAACACAAATGAGATATAAACGTGACACGTAGTTTAAATATTTATATGATGTCCGTGTGTTTTTGATAAAAATCCATTTCTGATCGATATGTTAAGAATTTTTGTAGCCCTGAAAAGGGCTTATTTTATTTCTTATTCGCCACATAATTTTTTTTTTTTATATTT